TCAAGGTCAAGGTCATGGGGTCAAAAATCATATTACATTTGGAAATGCTTGTCACAAGTAATGCACGTGACCAATATGAATGTCCTATGTTCGATCCTTCAAAAGTTAACAACACTGATAAAATGTTTGAAAATTAGGTCAAACTTGAAGATCAAGGTCACGGGGTCAAATATGATAGCACATTTGGAAACATTTTAATAATAATAATGCACTTGTCAAATATGAACGCCCAATCATATCTCATTCAAAGTAATCACCAAAGTTGAATGTTTGAAAATTAGGTCAAACATGAAGGTCAAGGGGTCAACAAATCATAGCATGCTCGGAAACGTCTTGTCACACCTACATATAATGCACTTGTCAAATATGAAAACCCTATCTTTTCTCAATCAAAGGTTATAAGGAAAGATAAAATTGTTGAAAAGTAGGTCAAACTTCAAGGTCAAGGTTACAAGGTCAAAAAATCATAGTATATTTGGAAAGGCTTTGCCACAGGAAATATACATGTTTAATATGAAAGCCTCATCTTATCTCATTCAAAAGTTATGACCAATTTAAAGTAATGTTAAAATTTTTGAAAAGTAGGTCAAACTTCAAAGTCATGGAGTCAAAAGCATGGCATATTTTAAAGGCCTTGTCACGGGTAATGTACATGTGAAATATGAAAGCTCTATCTCTTCTCATTCAAAAGTTATGACCAAGGTTGTTTTTATGACAGTCAGACTGACAGAAGGACACACTGACATACGGACAAACGAATGAGATTTAATGCCCCTCGCTTTCGCGAATACGGGGGACAATAGATTTACGAGTTCCGTTTTTATTGAAGAAAAAGGTGTCTTTAGTGTCAAAAAGCCTGGACTTAAATATATCCTGGGGAATGGTTGTACAGAGTGTTGAAAAGTCGTACATTCTAATGTGATTGATTTTGGTAAAATTTTGTGATTTCAAATTTTCTAAAAGCTCCTTAGAGAATCTTCTTAGAATTTTTAAGTATCCATATCTTACACACTGAATTGTCGACGGATTTTTCCGTTATTTCCCGATCATGACGAGGAGCACACGGTGGGTGTGACCGGTCGGCAGGGGATGCTCGCTCCTCCATGGCACCTGATCCCACCTCTGATGTTTTGGAGGTCCGTGTTTGCTCTGCACCTATTTTGTAATGTTTAATGGACTTTTGAGCTTGAATACTGTTCGTAATCTCCATATATTTCATCCATATCTGATTTACACCACTTCTCGAATACAGGTTTGTACAGTACTCCTAAATTTTCTCCTTGGTATCTTAGTTTTTAGGGATTTTTACGTAGTTTAGGAATCCAGTATAAGTATTGTTATTTAAAATCAATTTAATTATTGGGAATATTAAAATTATTTGAAACTGACATATGATTTTGAAAAATTTCCTTCTTAGATAGGGAGATATGGATGTAAGTTGGATTATCACTTGCAGAATTTAAAATTAAAATTCCAGCTCTGCTAAATTACAATTAAAATAATGAGCTTGATAAAGACTATGTTGTACCTGCTTTTTCAGCTGGGACCAGTACATATTGATCGTGTAATCTAATTATTTTTCTTCACTCTGAATTATTGAAGACAGAAGGATAGGATGGTTTTCATGTTACCCCTCAATTGCACAATGCGGGATTTCAACATCCATCTGATACTTTTAGTCCATTCTGACAAAGTATCTAGGTCTTCTTTTTTCATGCCTGGCGTAATCTTCCACAGAATTCATAATATTTATGAAATTATCATGCCTGTTGAAAGATTGGGGTCCCTAAAATTTGACCCTTTTAAAATATGTGATTTAAGTTTCGCACTATTAACTATATATACGTCACCAGAAATGACGCGTCCGGCAAGACTATAAATGTAGAGTGAAGACGAATATGAACACGTTGTAAGGATTTTTATGACCGGTCGACAGGGGGTGCTTACTCCTCCATGTCACCTTATCCCACCTCTGATGCGTTTGGAGGTCCGTCTTTGCTCTGCTCCAGATTTGTATTGTTTCAATGAACTTTTGAGCTTGATTACTGTTCGTTATCTCCATATTTCATTTAGGAATCCAGTATAAGTACGGTAGATGTTGCATTGCAGTATCTTCAAAAACTGCAAGATGCCTTTAATTGATGAGTTGTCAGGGTAAGGTTTTCAGGGAGAAATGCCAAAGTAGACCTGCTACTGAAGCTAAAGATTCTATGTAAATAGACCTGCTACTGAAGCTACAGATTCTATGTAAATAGACCTGCTACTGAAGCTACAGATTCTATGTAAATAGACCTGCTACTGAAGCTACAGATTCTATGTAAATAGACCTGCTACTGAAGCTACAGATTCTATGTAAATAGACCCGCTACTGAGACTACAGATTCTATGTAAATAGACCTGCTACTGAAGCTACAGATTCTATGTAAATAGACCTGCTACTGAAGCTACAGATTCTATGTAAATAGACCTGCTACTGAAGCTACAGATTCTATGTAAATAGACCTGCTACTGAAGCTACAGATTCTATGTAAATAGACCTGCTACTGAAGCTACAGATTCTATGAAATTAGAAACAAACTGTTGACACAACCTTTATCTAATCAAATGTATGATCATTGCCCTTATAAAAGAAGTTTGTGTGATGAATAAAAGGAAAGAAAAATGCATTTGTCGAGAAAAACAGTTTACACAAATTAAATTCCAAATCTGTAAATTTACAGTCCATACCTTTTTTTCTTGTAGAAATGGATTTAGAACTGTTATAACTGTGTTATGTATACTCATATTTCTTGAATAGTATTATTCCTTACCATTTTATTCCATCCAAATTGTGTATGATTCGTACAGTTATCTCTAGAAATTGTGTACCAACGACAGAATAGCAGCTCACCATTCTTCCTGTCAGTGTAACAATGTTTAAGTCCTGATAATATTTAATTGAGAATGTAAATTCAGTGTAAGAATGTTTAAGTCCTGATCATATTTAACTGAGAATGTAAATTCAGTGTAACAGTGTTTAAGTCCTGACAATATTTAACTGAGAATGTAAATTCAGTGTAATAATGTTTAAGTCCTGACAATATTTAACTGAGAATGTAAATTCAGTGTAACAATGCATAAGTCCTGACAATATTTAACTGAGAATGTAAATTCAGTGTAACAGTGTTTAAGTCCTGATAATATTTAACTGAGAATGTAAATTCAGTGTAATAATGTTTAAGTCCTGACAATATTTAACTGAGAATGTAAATTCAGTGTAACAATGCTAAAGTCCTGACAATATTTAACTGAGATTGTAAATTCAGTGTAACAATGCTTAAGTCCTGATAATATTTAACTGAGAATGTAAATTCAGTGTAACAATGCTTAAATCTTGATAATATTTAGCTGAGAATGTAAATTACTATCAATCACTGTCCCACATATAAAAAGATTCCCTACAACGAAGTTACGTGTAAAGACAAACAAATGCCCAAGGTAAATCAAAACAAATCCTATTTTAAACTCTGCAAATAAATAACAAGAATGTGAAGATAAAAAACACTTGATATGTTATTTTTCTACATGGGCCTTGCCTTGCAAAACTCATGAAGATTCACAAAAAATATAAATATACATTGTTCTTTTTCCTTTGAACATGATGCATTCTTTCGGTCTTGATCAATAATCCGTGCTTCACTAAACATTGTAGTTTCAAATGAGTGGTAGAATTAAAATCAAAAAAAAAATCCAGTTTTTAGCCTTCAAAGCTTTAGATCTCGAAGATCAAATACGAGTGTAGCTGCAAAATACAATGTCTATTCTCAAGAAAAAGACGTCCAAAAATTTGCAAATTCAATTTTCTGGCGGGTTTCTTTGGAGTTAAGGGTCCTGACTATGAGCAGATCTTAACAAGATAAAGACATACTTATGTCAAATTAACGAGTCGCGTGGAAAAATAAATGTATATATACATTTATCACATATTTACCCCTTTATACAGTGGATATAGCTCATTGCATATCGTTTTCATATCCATACTATGTATTCCTACGCCGCGTGACGTAATGTAAATAAACAGATCTATGTGCATGATGGAAAGAAGAATTCCAAATAATTCAATTGTAAATATTGATGGAGGTGGTTCAGGTTTGGTGAAATCTTCTAAATTTGAAAATGATGAAATTATTCATGAAGTCGAAATTGAGGGTACAGGTCTGACATTGCCATTTCCAAGTTATCGTCTCAAAATAGTGAATCCTGTCTAGCAGCAGATGACGTCTGGATCGCGATTTGAATTTATAGACGAAAATGATATTAATAAATATATCAATGATCAAGAAAACAAAAACACATGGAAAAAAACTTCTACTGATATGAATTTGCTAAAATCATTTCTTGAAACTCAAAATGAAAACAGACCCATAGAAACAATCCCTCCCTCTGAATTGAATAACATTTTGTGTAATTTTTTTTTGAGTGTCCGGAAGCCTGACGGCTCAAATCATGAACTAAACACATTGCGATCTTTTATGTGCAGCTTTGATAGACATTTACGTAAAATAAGGTTTGGATGTCAGATTGTTTCAAGCATAGAATTTGTTAAAGCGCGCGAAGTTCTCAAGGCAAAACAGCGAAGTCTTAAAGGCGAGGGTAAAGGAAATCTATCTAAAAAAGCAGACCCATTAACTAACATCGAAATAAATAAACTGTGGGAATGTGGTCTGTTAGGGGCACAAACTCCTGAGAGTATATTAAACTCACTTTGGTTATTCAACACGATTTATTTTGGACTGAGGGGTTCAGATGAACACAGATCCATGTCGTGGGCTGACATTTGTTTGCAAACTGATATTTCTGGCGTAGAATACTTAACATTTAATGAACGCCAATCAAAAACCAGACAAGGAGTAAACCCAAGGGATGTTCGAGTAGTCAAACCCAAAATGTGGGCAAATACTGACGCGCCGGATCGATGTCCTGTTGCTATATACAAAAAAATATTCAGAAGAAAGACCCGATGATTTTTCAAAACCCGATAATCCATTTTATTTAGCTAGACATACCCAGCAACACGCAATGTCCATAAAAGAACAAACCATGGGAGATCCTATATGTATTACATGCTCGACTCGGACAGTTGAATGATGTTCAACGACAGCCACAACGTGACACCGACATCCCTCTAACCGTCTGCACGACCGTCATGCTGTTTCTCACGAATATTAAAGTCTGTGACATGTATTCTATTGGGGAACAACACAGTCTCTTCTCCAGGACATACTTTATGAGTACATGGTTTGTGGCGTTGAAATAGGAATCCATTGGAGCCACCGGGCAATTTCCAGCACAGATGTTCGCTCGATATGTTATTGGATGCAGAATAAATTTTTCGTACCATCCCATATCCCTAAAGTCTACTGTCCACTCCTTCAAACGACAGTATTTTCGCGATTCAGCTGTTTCCATATTTATTGTAGAATTTCCATTACTAGGCACAAATCGCTTCCGCCGATCTCTGTGCAATAAAGAGACATTTATATCCAGAAAAATCGCCAAAATCGGATTAAGATGTCTTATCTGGTGAGTTGATTTACTGATGGAGACAAACAGTTCTAATGTTGTATTTAACACCTGATCTATAGCCAGAATTGTGACGTCAGCCACGTGTCCTTGTCCTGTATGAAAGGAATTCACCCCTGAAATATTGGAAATACAAATTATAAAAAAAATAAATAAACAAAGAACATCTGTGAAGTAAGCGTTTATAATAAGCTAGGTTCTTTGAAACAATTTTTTCTATATATAGTTTTGACCAATTTATCATGAATTGGCATACATATACTTTAATTGATCCTTTACATTGTTAGAAAGTTAAAAAGAAATATGCAAACGATCTATTCTTCCGTTTTCACTAAATCGGTGGTGCTAAAAGAATAAGAGAGACTATACGTGAACAATATGTTATGTTTCCAGCAGACAAGGCTTGTAATAATATCGTCTTTGTAAGGCTCATTATTATAGCTGTATTTTAGAGTAACTTGGTTTTAATTCCAAATTTGAAAATCCTACTTATACTAGCTGTTCACTTTCTGAGGATGAGATTCTTCAAAATCACATTTCAGTCTTTAATATTTTTAACATTCCAGTCACCAAGGTGTGTTTGATCTACATTCCTAAACTTCATAAAAAAATCCTTAAAAACAAAGATACATTGAATTACAATTCAGCTGGTTACGTAAAAGTTTAAAATTAAATTCTGCTATCTACTTATCAAAAACATTGGAAATCATTCATAGCTGTGTACACATTTTTTCCATTTGACCATTTGTCATCTTAAATTCTTTTGACCATTTCGTTTCCAGTATTGGCTTTTGCACCTTTTTAGAAACCGGATTATTATAATAAAATCACGATTTTTCGAATTCTGGATTTTTATTTTTTCCGTAGAAGTAAAAGTGTGACTTTTGAATATTTGTTTTATTTACATTGTTGTAATCTATATTTAGGTTTTTAAATGCCTAATTCTATATTATTGGATATTCGCATTATTAAGTATTTAATCTTTGATTCAATGATGTCCTTGACATCATTTATATCTTTTCGGTAGAGCGCTCGCTCCGTGATCGGGAGATCGTGAGTTCGAATCTCGGCCGCGACAGACCTAAGTCGATAAAAAATAGGTAGCAACTGTTCCTTCGCCATGCGCTCGGCACTTTGAAGTGAAAGTTGCGGGTCCTTCGGATGAGACCTTAAAAACCGAGGCCCCGTGTCACGGCAGGCGTTGGCACGATAAAGATCCCTCACTGCTCAATGGCCCTGAGTGCCGAGTAAAGGTCAAAATTTGAAGCCCTTCACCGGTATATGGTGACGTCTCTATATGAGTGAAAAATTCTCGAATGGGACGTAAAACAATATACAATCAATCAATCAATCAATCATTTATATCTTTCATACCTTCTCTTGTAAACAGATCTTTTACATATAAAATACCACTCTTGCCCAACTTTTTTGGTAAAGTGGCTTATTGTTTTGTTTAAGAGGACTGTTTAACCATAAGTTTACTATATATCCTGGTGAGCTTGAGATAAAAGATACCACAGAGTCTGGCACATCTGTTTTATATATGGATATTTTACTTGAAAAAGACGTTAATGGTAATCTAACAACCAAGCTTTATGATAAACGTGATGACTTTAACTTTTCAATCGTCAACTTCCCTTACTTATGCAGCAATATACCTTCAATACCTGCATACAGGGTTTATATCTCTCAGTTGATTCGATAAGCAAGAGCATGCTCTACGTATGTACAATTTCTAAAACGAGGTAAATTATTGACAAACAGTTGATGAAACAAGAATATCAGCAGTCTCGTTTTCAGTCATCATTTCGTAAGTTCTATGGTGGATACAATGACCTTGTCAGCACATACAATTTATCATTATAGTCAAATGCTGACTGGCGTTTTTCATACAAATTGTTAGACCATTATTTACAAACTGAATTGTCAACGGATTTTTCCGTTATTTCCCGATCATGACAAGGAGCACACGGCGGGTGTGACCGGTCGACAGGGGATGCTCACTCCTCCACGGCACCTGATCCCACCTCTGATGTTTTGGAGGTCCTTGTTTGCTCTGCTCCTATTTTGTATTTTTAATGGACTTTTGAGCTTGAATACTGTTCGTTATCTCCATATATTTCATTCGTGGTGGTGTTAGAAATTTACTATTGTTAAAACGACAAAAATATATAAGTTAATTTTTGGAAACTTATTTAAAATATTGAATTGATTCGGATTCATATAATATTCCTGACTAGGAGATACTCAAAGTGTATCCAATTAATTTTTTAATGCGTTATCTAGAAATTTTATACGCGTGGATTTTTTTAATTGTAAAGTCTTCTGATCCATCCTGCTTTTAAGCTTGCATTCGATGTAGATAAGATCAAGACCTCCGTCGTTTATTGACTACATTTAATTCCCTCTCTCTCTCTCTCCCTCTCTCTCTCTCTCTCTCTCTCTCTCTCTCTCTCTCTCTCTCTCTCTGTGTCAAATATACTCTCCCCTCATACAATCTTAGAAAATCCAAAAAAGGCAAACACATGGAGATTAAATAAAACAGTTTGAATCTTGAATAAAAATTGATTTTTGCAGATAATCTGCTTAGAATTATAACCAATGCAACGGAAAATAACGGAAAACAGCAGTACTTACAAAGAAACTGGTGGGGAAGCGGTAACGTCGAAGTGTCTATGTAAACTCAGCATCAGAATTTTGACAGAATTTGTTAATGGTAGGGTTGAAAAAGTGTTCTAACAAGACAGTACCATAACAAGTTTGATTATTAAGGAACAAGATAACAGGAGGCTATAATAAAGATAGGCCTCTGTCATCTACAGTGAGGTTCAGGACACATATCTCAAATATTTTGATATGATAATTCAACATTGCTTAATAATTATCTACTGTATGAAATACCAATCTATAAGAACTTACTGATCCCTGGACGATATGGCGATGTAATTTGGATAGAGAACAGCCGATGAGTGTGTCCCGTGAAGGCGAGCTCTATTTTGGTCACGTTTCCGTTAATTGGCGCTCTCGATAAATCAAATTCAATGAGACCATCAGAGGTTTCTGTATAAAAAGATGATAAAACTTGAAACAGTGACACGTTTTATGGTAATCCTGTATCGTACAATTTTTTTCAATTATTTCTGAAAAATATGAATATATTAAAAGTGAACTTCTGGTCGAAAATGTTGGAATTGCTTAAAGAGAGTACGCAGTTTATTTTTTCTACAGAAAAAGTACAATAAGTACACTGTACGGACGAATTTTACAGATGTCCAAAATTTTTCTTTGTGGATGTTGAAATGTCTTACATACAACATTTGTTAAACAAGCTCTGACACTATGCCAGGTAAGTGCAAAATTTACACGCGCTCTTTTCTCTCCAGCGAGTAAGTAAAGTCTACATGCAAATATTAATAAAATCGGCTCAGAGACATGAGCAATGATTATTTGTTATATAATAAGATTTCAAATGCTGGCCATGAAAAATTAAAAAATATATAATCTTGAATTATGACAGATAACCTTTTTGATTTTTTTTCTGTATAGTCCCTTCTTTTGATACGATTCTCATGTACATATCATTGTTAATTCTTTAAGTATTGATATTTATTGGTATGAGTTATCACTCCTCTTAGGCAGAAAACACTTTACTTGTTTGTGAAAATACGTTATATTTACATGTTGGCAACTAGCTGAAAAAAAACGCATTAGTTTGTATCATTGTTTGATTTAACTGATTTCACACATGTGAATAAAATTTTTCTCTAAATTAAAACTTTTTTGCGATGAAAATTGATTTAAAAAGAAACTGCCACTTTTGTATATTTCATGTTTTTTTGTTTGTTTGTTTGTTTGTTTGTTTTTTTTATAAAGAATCTCCAATATGCAAAAATACATTTATGCCTTTTAATATTTGAAAAGTTTTCACAACGTCATGCAATCTTTGTATAATTCACCGTGGTCATCACTGAAATAGTAGAATTTCCATATTTGAAGTATGACAGCATCCATAACTAACAACACAATTTAGAGTCCTTCGGGAAATGCAGGCTAAATTACCTGTCTTTATCGATATTTACCTGTCTTTCGCATAAAGTTTTTAAATTAAGGCCTCTGTATGCTTGTTTTTTGGGGACGGGTGTTTTATTTTCTATTTTTGTCTGGAATTCATTTTTGTGGAAAATGGACAGTGATATTTTTAAAACGACTAGTTCCACATTTTGATTTGTCTTGCGTCTTTTTTCAGTGAATCGATCACTGTTCATCATTAAGTATGCGGAATAAGAGTAACAAAAAAATTGAATGCGTTTAATCAGAAAAAAAAATTAAAATTCACTATATCATTTACATTACTAATTAACTTTCAGAAAATGAATCTCTTAAGGTACCACTGATTTAACATTCAGTGAAAGTGAGTTTGGAATTCACAAATGAAGTGCACATTAACGACTTTTATATATAATCTGCATATTTTTATCACTTTGGAACTAACATTATTGTATAATATAATAAATCTCGATCTTATCTACATATATATAAAATCAGTTTTCTCCCTTGTTTAAGCACTGAATTTTTTTTTTTTTTTTGAAGATACTGTCTCATAACTGCAAACAAATTGAGTAACGCGCGTTTTAAAAAATTTGTTTGCACACACCGTTGCAGTTATGAGACTATCTCTTTCAAAAAATGTTGAATCAATACTTATATTTACATTTTTTAACTCCTTCCATTGACTGCAAATCTGATTTTATTTCAAAATCCCTGTATCATCCTTTGGGTAAGTTATAATTAATGAAAGAGCCTTTGCAACAGCTTCTTTTCAATGTGAGCGTGAAATTTGATTTTCGCTTATGACGTTGCACTTCCATGGCGTTCAACGCTTGTGACGTCAAAATAAAACGCATACTTTAATCTTTTAACCCTCTGTCCGTGTTATGGTGTTTTGAATAGCTTTCCTCACACTTTATTCAAGAAATAAGTTTTCATTTTTAAACATCTATCGGGATATAAATACGTGTTGGTCACGAGATCAAAAAGCCCGAAGGGCATTATGACAAATTTGATCTCGTACCAACCCGTATTTATAGCCCGATAGATGTTTTAAAATGATACCTTATTACTTATATTTACATTTGTGACATTTATATTTTATATTTGCCTGATTATAATCTTTATCGCATGAAACGTTTTATTTTTCAAACCCAACGGAACGTGTTTGATCCACTGATTGCGCGTCGACCCTTTATGACGTCACTGAGAAATTACGTCGAACATTTATGACGCGAGGAACCCGTGTTTATACGGATATAATTTAATTCTGGTTGTAACGTTGTATTTGGTTGGATACAAAATTTACTTTATATCGTATAAAATGGGTTGCCTACGCCACAAAGACTTGCGTCAAAAACGTATCGATCCGCCTGACGTTACAATCAAATTTTGTACAAATTGAAGTCATTTTTAAGGGCAATTATCTTTTTTTTTCTTACAGTGAATGAATGAAAATTAAATTATAAGGAATGAATTTAAATGATACCTATTTTATACGGTATAAACTGGGTTGGAACAGTTTACGCTTTTTATAAACAGCTTCGCGGTTTATAAAGCGTATACTGCCCCAACCCAGTTTATATATATATAAAATAGGTAGCTATTTAATTCATTCCTTGAATAGATACGCGTTGCTTTTAATAGTGTAATATAAAAGAAAACATTTGCAAATGTAAATATAACAAAATACATGCTGAATGTAAATATTAAGTTTTATGATATTTTTTTCGACTTACTTTAATTGTATATTTTGTATATTGTTTCCCTTTCTGTCAACAGAATTTCAATATGTTGGTTTTCGCAATAGTTATTTGTTTAACGTACATTATTTAGGAAAAGTAATACTTTTATGCAGAAGCAGTCCAGTGACTACAAAATTAAGATGATTGAATTTATTTTAAAGAATTCACTTGTTATTTCGAAAATTTTCTTTTCTTCTTGTTAGTTTGATTTTATGTTAATGATTGTTCTATTTTTCATGTAGGTTTCATGTTCTAAATTTTGTATTTACTCCCACCCGGTAAATTCAAAATTTAGAACATGACATAGGTAAAGGGGGAGAGGTACGCACAGGGATTGTTTGCATTAAACAAAAATATATGCCCAGAATTATTTGTGCATTCTTAATGAAAAATTAAACGATGAAATTCAATTAGCTTTATCAGGATATGAAAAATTAATTGCTTGTCATAAATAAGTTTCGTATGTATATTCATTACTTTCTGTTAATTGTTTAGAATATTTCATTTTGATTAACGAAGTATTGAATGTTACGTTCTGTTAATTGTTAAAACATAGTTAATTTTAACAAAGGTATTGAATTATTTATCTCAACATTTATTTTCAAAGGACTTTTATTTCCCAGTGTTTGAAGTACATGTACTACTTTAAAAACATTTAAAATGTATATAGGAAAATAAAGTTTAAATCGCAAAATCTATATAAGAGTGCTTTCATAAAAGAAAGGGCAATATTAGAAATTGCTTTATAGCGCAAAACAAGCAAACAAAATTTAAAAATGATGTAATATAACTTACGAGACTCCGGATCATAAAACTGCACCTTTGGATCGCGGTCTGAATACATACGCAGATCATCTTGTTTTTCTTCCATCTGAAGAAAAAGCTGTAGCACATAGGGTGAGATGGACCGAGTTATGGGTCTGTGCCCTCCGGGGTCAATGCCCAGATTCTGAAGGAATTCAGAAGTCAAGTGAGGGGGGACAAACGTCCCCATTCCAAGATCAGTGGTGAACACAACCACGTACAACCAAATGCCAAGAGTTCTCATAATTTTGTAAGTGTTCCAGAGCATGTCAAAGCTTTATATACCAGGACCTATATATGTCGGTACCATGTCGTCGTGGTTTTGCTATAGGAATTCATATTTAAATGTTTATCATGCACCAGTTTGATTTTTGTTTCCAAGAAATTATCAAATACAAATAAAAATAGATGCCATTTTAATAGTGATTTATATTTAGCACAATTTAGTTTTTCGTAACTGTAGAAAATATTATATAGCATTACGAGATGTTTGATAACGCTGAATTATTTTTGAAATGTTCTTATATACGCTTCAATGTATTTTTGAGCTTCTTAATATAGCTTGATTTTAATTGTTAATAGTCATGTTACATTTTGCAGCTTATGACAAAATCCAGACAAATGTCAGTTAGATCTGGAAATATTTATTATCATGAATAATACTTGATTGTGAATCTTTATTTTTATTATTAGCATATTTATTATCATGTACAAGTATTATTATTTATTGTCTTTATCTAGACCTATTATACAAGGAGAGGGTGTGCATAGGTTTTGCTTGTTTCCCAATCCTTGTTAAATTATTCAGTAAAATGTGTTTAAAGTAAACATTTATTCTATTTAACTATAAATTCGATTGAATCATTCATGAAATTAAAAGTATAACTAGTAGGGAGAACCAACCATCACATGCGTCTGTCCGAAGAGCTCTTTTATTTCCAAACAGTATCTTAAGTTCATAGGATACCCAAAATCCTTAGAAAGTTGGGTATGAATTTGTTAGATGGTAAAGTTGAAGTAAATTCCCATTTATTAGGGTTTTTTTTCGTGTTTTCACTATAGATATAAATGTATATATTTAGGGATAATAAAACAATAAGTGGTACAATAAGAAACTTCCGTGATAAATATGTATTGTAGCAATAATAATATACAAACTATTTTACATTTACCTATATAATTTTTTTTCTTCAGATATCCAATATTTTTAATCTCATGCAAGCATTGTGAAATATGTACATTTAGAATATACATCCAAATTTTAAGAAATACAACATCAAGTAAAACATTTAAAGCAATGAAAAACAAGCAAATTGGAAGTAATTACAAGTACAATCAAGTGCAATCATTGTTTTGAAAGATATAATATTGTTTGAGACAAAGCATATATATATATATATATATATATATATATATATATATATATATATATATATATATATATATATATATATATATATATATATATATATATATACAAATTTTTTCAGAGATTAATCAAACTTTGTTGTTTCGATAAAAACTAGAAAGTTACACACATTAATTTAAGGGGAAGAAGGACCTTTAGCTGAAAAAATACTTGTCATTCAATTTTTTTTATATTTTGTATATTTCTTATTAAGTATGTCCCACATATCTTAAAGCAGTTATATCATTAGGTTTCTTACCTTATTTTAGAGATATTGATTGACAAATATTATGCGCTACAGTATCTAAGTGGAGTTTTAATTCTCCATGTTGCCGGGCTCATTACTCTGTCCATAATTGGATTTTTAAAGCATTTATAAAAAATATGTAAGTGAACATGTATCTTTTAAAATATTTCAGAGTATGAATTGGGTTTAAAATTCGAAAAGGCAAGTTTCATCTATCACACTGCATCTGGATAGGGAAAATTACGAACTTTTTGAGACAACTTAAACAACAAAAAACGTAATTTACAAAAAATCCTATCATTCAATATTTTTAAATTTACGTTGAAATGCAAGTCCTTCAATTATTGATTAACTGTAAAAATTTCGAATGGTGAAGCTGACCTCAATATTGCACAGGACATTGTTGAAGACGACATAAGCAGGTCAAAAACTTGTCATGTTTACATTTCTCGAGTACGGGAAAAACCAACTATGACGTCACACGTAAGCTAAATAAGCGAACTAAGATATCCCTACATAAGATTTCCATCATCAGCCATGCAAAATTAATTTTTGTGTTTCCCGTTTCTCAAAATACTTCATCATATACTGATTATGACCTGTTTTTACATAATAATACCGCCCTTGTATTCACCGAGTATGATCTTGCTGTACTAGCAGATCGTGTATGACGTCACCGACTTGTTGGACGCGCAGTTTAAAGAAACAGAGGAGTGGATCAATCTTTTTTCATAATTTGATAATGTTTACAAGAATGTTAAACTTTTTATTTTTTTAATATAAGATGGTAATTAAAGAAAAAAATTGTCAATTTTTTTACAAGAACTGATGCTTTACACGTTTTGCACTTATATAAATGGAGACTATGACGTAGTTTAACAAAGTCATGTGACCATGTGTCCTTCATCCCCTTAAGATAAGCACAAGTCAAAAAGAAGTCAACACACGAACATGCATCCCATCCATTCGTAATACTCGTTTATATCAAAATAATTATGTGCGGATATCTAACAAATATATACATGTCTTCTTTGTAAATTTGTTTTTGAGGTTGTATAAATGTATCTATATATTTTGATTTTGATTTTTTTTTCATTGAAAACCAGAATTGATAACTTGTGCAAGTGGATTCAAACATTCCATCTTGCACACATACAAAGATATACGCATTTTCAAACCATGTATTGAAGAGATATAAACACTGAGTAATCTGTGATAAAATTGTCATGCGAAATAACGGCGATTTTAAACAAGCTAAAGTATGCTCACACACTTAAAAAGTGTCATCTCAAACCGTTGTTTCTCAGAGGAATCGCAGTCATGAATTACTGGCGACAAAAAGAGAGGAAACCGAGTAAAAATAATATGTTTGCAATCTCAAAAATAATAAAATGATGACTTTATCTCTATTGTATATTATTATTAGCATTATGGTGTTCGAATAATGTATACATTTGAGTACGGCACAACCTTGGAGCTTCTTTCTGTACTTCTCTTGCTTATATAATAAACCTTCGCTTTTAGCTTGACACCATTTTTTTATCACGTGAATTTATGGGAATTCCATTCATCACACATGATCAACGTTTTTGCTCTAGCACTAAAGGAAACGAATGTAAATGAAAATTTTGAAAGGTCAGTTAAACTAAAACAGGTGATTATACCGGAGTAAACCCTGAAAGTAGCGGCAATGCAGTCAACTATGGCTTCTTTGTGTACAATGATTAATAAGAATTTTATTTCATTTCAGTGATAACAGATAAATGACAGAAAGCTACAAACATTCAACTAAAGACTATTATATCAGTGACAGAAATTCATTAATGAAGATTTTGACTTTATGCAGTTGCTATTGTTCATTATTTAATAAGTTTTTAGGAGTAATTTTTTAAATATCTGTTTAATTCTTTTAAATGAATAATTTCAATTTATTTATTACTTTGTCAAGAAAGAGTCAAGTTCCTGATGAAAATACCGACTTAGTAAGCTTTCAAGTATTGTGTATTTTAGGAAAGTACTAGTTAGTATCTGTTTTTTAGCTGGTTAAAAGACAAATATGACGTGTTAATTAATGAATATATCCATATGTATATACAGAAGTATAACTGAGAAGCTGTAAGTAAAAATACGTTAAAATAATAAATCAAATGAAAGTTTTAGAGTTTCTGATATTCAAATGTGTTCAAATTGCGTAATTTTATACAGTCGTCGCATATAAATAAATTCTTCGTGTAACGCTTCATTCATAAATTTCATTCACTGTATTCTCTTCCATTGTTCTTTACTTTGTCAAGAAAATATGCATTACTCTTTTCTTTTTTTTTTAATTGTCCCATCACATGTCAAAGTAAACCTTAGTGCCAGCGTTGAGCTCTGGGTTCACTTAGTTACATAGTTATAGTACAAATACACAATTCACCATGAGAGGACTTTTTTTTCCTTCCACATTCACTCATCATTCGCTACATAACATCCATATAATTACAATTATAACAATATTTAACTAAATAAATGAAATCTTAATATAGTCATTGAAAAAAAGATGTACATCAGTAACTGTAATTCCTAGACCTACAACATTCAATACCCTACAACACACACGAAACCTTTTCACTGCACGTTTGAATACACAGTAGGAACTTAACTACATGTTTATGCATTTTCAATGCTCTAGGAACAAAAAAGTGTATATCGTTTTAGCTCAGTTTCATTAAAAAGAATAAATTATTGTAAAAATATTACAATTGAACGTTTAAAATAAATTTGTCATTTTTTCCCTCGCAATATTTGACATTTCATGTCACAACGGCTCTTATTATACATCTCGTATTAAGCACACCAATTCTGAAAGGCGCTAAATTCATATAAAGATTAACGAAATTAACACCATTATGAAGGGTTGCTACGGGCCTGCTTTGAAATACTGCAGTTGCTGACTTCATTGCCTTGAATTTTCAATTACTTTGAAGAAAAGGTCCTAGAGATTTTAAGTTTATGAACCTGAGAAGCAAACCTTTGATGTTTAGCAAGATTAGTGCATTTCAAAACCTTGCAGAAAACACCAATGGGTCTTGTTCTGCGTATATATATATATATATATATATATATATATATATATATATATATATATATATATATATATATATATATATACACACACACACACAAATACAGCAGTTAATAATAACAATCCCAACTCCTCCGGGACTTCAATACATAAATACTCTTTATAACAAAAACTGCACCAATTAAAACCAACTTTAAATTGAAGTTAGAATTAACAACTTTAAAAGAAAAAAAAGATTGATTGATGGATTGTACATGTTGTTTTACGTCCCATTAGAGAATTTTTCACTCAAATCATGAAAAGTTCAAGGAAAGTCCACTTTTTGATTCCTCGACACCAGAATATAGGCTCGGATCTATTATTATGGATATTGCAAATCAAAGGCTTTTCAAACCCCCACGTTTTACTGAATTTTTTCCTTAAACTTTAATATGCCAACAAAAGAATTGACGCAGTTAATATAAGTAATATTCTTAATCACAAAAGGGTCCAGTCTTGTATTCCACCATATTTC